AACTACAACCACAAAGTATATATGGCAATCACATACCATTGTTTTAAATACCCACGATATTTAGTTAATAATAATTAACCTCCAAAGCAGTCCAAAACTTCATACCTTTTGAAGTATGATCACTAGAGGTCAAGCAAAATAAGAAAATATATCGTAATAAAAGCTAAAGCTAACAGTTTAAAGTACTAATAGAAAAAAGCCAACCATGCAAAGTATGCAGATAATGTGCATAGCAGAAAAATAAAAAAACTAAGGACCCTGATAGTCTGGATCAAAAGTAGGATGGTATGCAACATCATCTTGAGGCGGAAAGTGCCAATGCTGCTGATATTCAGGGACCATAGGAGAGGTTTGTGTAGAATCAGTGGAGTAGGTGAAAGCTGAATTCATGCGAAGACCTGAGCTAGGACCATGTGACGGCTATGGTGGGGCAACTGGATGATGACCTGCCTGAGGGGAGATGCCATGAGCAGCTAGAGCTGCTACAACAGACTGTGCGATTGTTTGGCTCATATTATTCTGAGCTTCTGTCATATTGGCCAGCTGCTGTTGCATCAAAGCAATTTGTTGGCATTGTCTTTCTAACTCCTCATGATCTTTTGCTTGTGTCTCCTCATAGTCAGACGCCATCAGTGCTACTATTAAGTTTTCTCGAGGTTGTCTCTTCCTGTAAGTAAAACCAACCATCTCTGGATTTACTTGGGAGCTAATCCCTAGCATGAAATTAGATGAGCAACCTCCAACAGCCTTAACCCATGCCTCATTATCCATGCGTGGCCACAAACTAGCATCAGAGCCATGACTCTCTGTGCACTCCACAACATAAGTATCCTGAAAAAATAATAGTAATAGTAATAATGTTGTCAAAAGTAGTTTGAAAAGAATCTATAAAAAAAAAGTAGACTTTACTAAATAATTTAGATTAATTACATAAATTTTTTTCACACTTATAACTATACATTTTATGCTAATTTATATGTTATATATACTTACATATCGATACTTTGCTTTTTCATTGATCCACGATGGCTCTTAATCTTTTCCCGCCTTTTTTCTAAAGGTGTGCGTCTCCTTGAATTTCCCTTGATGGGGAGGTTGCACACCACCTCTAGACTCAGTCTATATTTCTAAATATTGATAATGCAATATATTGGTTAGTATAAATTGACACAATTTAATGTTAATTAAAATCTAATATATTAAATTTTTTATTAATTAAGCTTGATTACCATCCGCATCTCATGGATGCC